CCATCTGCAGAGAACCTTAACCACAACACCTGGGTAATTTCTAAGGATCTTGTCCTTGAAATGTGGTTGTTCTATTTCAACAACAGTGAAAGGTTTATTTATTCTTGACTCTGCAATCACTTATCTCCGATGTGATAAAACATATGAAACTTTCTTCCTCATTTCAATCAAAGTCCCTATCAAAGGACAGGAAGCTGTTCCCTATACACAGGAACTTCTGGTGAATTTCAGTGAAGAAACTAAACTGAATAAAACACCAGCAAACAGCCAACAAGTGGCAGTTATTATTTTAGCCTGTGCATCTACCTGATGTGCCCACTTTCTTCTGAGCTATCAGAGGTGAAAACTGTCAAGAATATACTGAAGAATAAATATGATGAAGATCCTCTTACCAATTCACTCATGCCATAGATTCACTGTTACATCAGCACCAAGGTTATGCACAGGAAGATTATAACAGGAGAGAAGCCTCTGATAGAGCATGATTGAGTGTGTAAGCGTAGGACACAACAGGACTTACAAATGTACACATTAAACTACAAAATTTGTATTAGTTGTTTTGTCTTGGTCAACTTTTAATGCCTTGTAGGCAAGTTCACTTTTACATCATCAAGGTGACTCTGTAGGAGAACCTTCTTGTGCTCTTCTTCAGTATTTGCTGCGGCGAGGTCAATATGTAATTCATCACAATATTTACACCAAATCTAAGATTAAAATCTGACCTAAAAACATCATCATATGTTTTGAAACATTTGTTTCTGCATTTTGTTCCTCATGCAATTTACACATCTTCTAAAGTGTTAAGTCAAGACTCAGATACACAGTCTCTGATTTACTTTTTCTGTAGCGACTACATTGTTTTGGGAAACTTGCTATGTAACCGCATACAGACCATCTAGTCTCATCACCAATAGTTTGACGACTTCTGACTTTATCTCTCAAATCAAGCAGAACCAAAACCCTATCTTTCATGATTCCCTGTGGAGTCCGAATCTGTCTTTGTGTTATCTTTGCATTATAGTAAATAAACTAAGCACAGTCTTTTGACAAACCTCGTCTCTCTGTACATTTATGTCCAACAGGTGTTTCAATGTGCACTTACATCCAGATGCAGCATTGCTCTTCCCAGGCTTCTGCCTTTTTGGTTCAAGAATGTCTCAGAGGAGCCAAAGCCAAGGACTGGCGATTTTGTACGTGACCGCACAACGAATTGGAAGAGTATGCCCCGATGCTTACATCGAGGTAGTGGTGTCTGGCGGCCCTAAAACTACGCCCTCTCTGTGCACTCGCCTACTACAGCAAAACAATAAAAAAAATTGAAGGCCAAGGCACTACCCTAAAATTAAACAAACAACAAAAATTGAAGACCAAGGCACTACCCTAAAATTAAACAAATTCTCTAACAATTAATATCAGTTCAAAGAACAATATGATACTGGACGTCAGCATCTCTCCATGTGCATAACCTACAAGGATGAAGCAAAAGCATGGCGGTATCTAAAGAAAAGTCAAAGGGGTATAAGATTGTTTTCAAGAAGTACCATTTTCTCCCGGGTTTTTATTATCTGCCACATGGTTACATCTAAGCCCCTCCTTTTCTTCTAGTAAGAAGTCATTTTCAGAGAAAAGTTCCATAGTTCCACAAAACTCCAGGATTTATGTACTCTGATGATGTCACAATAAATATTAGTATTTCGTCTTTATCTGTAGAACAGAATTTTACAAGAACTCTAAATTGTAAATTGTAGAATATTAGTTCACACTTTTGTGGAACATGCCCATTGGTGTGATACTCATGAGGGTCTGTTGGTTGTTTATGTAGTAGCTTAGTGTTAAAAACTATACAGTTTCTTAGATTTGAGAAATATTAATAGCAGTTCATAGTTAATTTCACCAAACTTTTTTTTGGGGGGGGGGATAGGGGTAATCAATCGCCAAGCTGTATGACAGAGAATGTGTAACTCTGTCTGTAAGCACATGCTGTTCAGTAACTTATGTTAATGAGCAAAGAGTAAATGTCAGTGTCACATTCTCAATTAAGTTCCTGGAATACCCTCGTAAAAGCAGTAATTAATTACTTACATAATAATGGCTGTTGTCACCTTAGAAGTAGTCTCCTTGAGTACCAACACACTTAGTGAGTCAGTGTTTCCACTGCTTATAATATAACTGCTCTTCTGGAATCTCATTAGGATTGTCATCACATGTCCCTGAATATTAACAATGTGTGCCCTGTTCAAAGTAGTCTTCAGTTTTGGGAATAGCCAAAAGTCATGCAGGGCCAAATCAGGTGAATATGGTGGATGGTTCAATTTCAGTATCAATATATTCGCCAAGAACTCCCAGGTACCGTCATGATGCAAGATCGAAGCATCGGGGCAAACTTCAGGTCTTCTCCAATAAACGGCCTCACGTAACATCGCAAATATTTCCTAATAACAATGCCGGTTCACTGATCGACCTTGTTCAACAAACTCACAGTAAACAATGACCTTGTTATAAAAAGACATTGTCTTCACATCTTCCTGACCCTCTTTAAATCTTTTATGCCACTCAAAGACATTTAACTTTTTCATAGCACCAGCAATGTAAGCCTCTTTTAATATCTGCAGAGTTCAACTTGAACTTTTGCCTAACTCTTCGCAAAACTTATGTTAATCCGACAACCTATAACTCATTTTTTCACCGAGACAAAAACACACTTGTATAACTACTGCCCTATTCGCTTCACCAACACACAAGACACAACCACAGACTTTTCATAACATGTCGCTACTTAGTTACTTCTGACCTGCTACTCAATGTGACATATGTGCAGGCATTCTAGGAACTTAATTGTCACACCACATATTATTTGTGCTGAGGGAAACAGATAAATTCTCACATTCTTCTGCAATCTGTTTTTCACTGGAATTCTGATTTAAAGATTCTGTGTTCAAATCTGACTTTGGATAAACAATGTCTATGCAAAAAACACATACTTTAGAAAGATTTCCGTCTTCTGGGTTGTTGCGCTGTGTAATCTGGTCGATATTAATCAACGAATATATATTCATCGCCCTGATGACGGAGGCAGTATGACCTCTGAAACATTGGTTAATATTGACCAGATTACACAGCGCAACAACCCAGAAGACGGAAATCTTCATTCTCACCGCTGTGAGAACCTCAAGTCTTACATACTTTACAAACATTTTTATTCCTTACAGTATACCTATTACTTATACAAAACATGAATTAGTACATTAGCCCTTGAAAGGGATGTTTTCATGACCTGATATATTTCGTAAGATGTCCAGTATCCATAAGTCCATGTTGAGACAAATTAGACCTGTGGTTAAAGCTCATAAACAAATAAAACAACCAGAATAATTTTTGTGTTGTATTTCTACCTCTCATTTTTGTATTCAGTACTTAAATCTTTAGAATACTTTAAATGATTCACTACGTAGTTATCCTAGAGCTTGTTAATTTTGAGGTAATGGCCTTCTATACCTGTTTATTTGCTGACCTGTGCAAGAGTCTATCTATATATTGTTCAGATTCTTACCAAACAAAGCACCTGATCAAAGCAATCCAGTCCAGCCTTTTGCATTCCCTCGGGCGTTCCTGACAGTCATAACTAAATAAAACCCTGTGCAATCATATTTTGAAATTGCTCTGAAAGTATTTTAAAAAATTCACAAATGTAAGTATGAAAAGACATTATTTTATGGCTGAGCTTGTTTCTCCATGAAAAACAAAAACAAATTAGCTGTATAATTGGAACATTCTAAGCTTTTTTTTACAAAGTGACGTACGTTTCAATTCACATAACATATATAAACTTAATGAAACTGTTATAAATCTTCCAGTTCTGAACTGAGTACTTCCTGGCACTTTTTATATTATGGTTATACCAACGCAACTACAGTGAGATTATTTTAGTGTAACCCACTAATTGCTAAACCTCTCAAGCAGAATAGACAGATGCCCATCATCTCACAGGGCCTACAGAGATTTGTACTGATAGCAGAACCAATAAACATGCAGCCTACTGACATTAAACATAAAATATCCCAATTACACCAGATACTGGAAGTTATCTTCATCGATTTGCTCAGATTCCTAGCACCAAAAAATCACTCTGTCAGCCAGATTAGATGGTTTCAATTCATGTGCTACTGGTATCTTATTCTTTTTCAGTTTGAGAAGTCCCTGTGGCAGTTTGTGCTGTTTGTCAGTCCTGTGCAAAGCATCTGAGGGACTTCTGCAAAGCATGCTCAAGGCTAGCAAAGAAGTCCTGTGGCAGTTTGTGCTGTCTGTCAGTCCTGTGCAAAGCATCTGAGGGACTTCTGCAAAGCATGCTCAAGGCTAGCATTAATTTAACCCAATTTCTCTTCAGTGAGCACTCAGCATTTCAATACATTCCAATAATGACCCTGTATTAATTAACTTACAATTCTATGAATACACCCAATTTCTCTTCAGTGAGCATTCAACATTTCAATACATTCCAATAATGACCCTGTATTAATTAACTTACAATTCTATGAATACTTCAATATCAAACTGAAACATTCTGAATTTTATCTCACCTTTTCTTGTAGAATCACTTTTCACGTATACATGAATACTTATTTCAAAAGTTGTAACACGTTCCATTTTAACACACCTGAGTGAATTAATGCTTATTATACTGGTCAATTACAGTAGGTGGTAAAGCACATGGAACTCAAGATATATTATTTGGCCAGATATAATACATATGCTTACATGACATAGCTACTCTGCAAATTTCTGGGGGTCTCAGACAGGACCTCACTATTACCTTCAAATGCCAAGGAACAAAACAGATCTTCTTCATACTTAAATTAATGTTTACATTCTTGATGTGCATGACAAATGTCCCCTAAAGTAGGTGATATTGTCTGGATATGAAGTGATGTATAAACAATTTGAGAATTAAGATTTCATGAAAAGGATTGTGTGCTCAGAACAGCCCTTTAATTTGTACTTACCGTTTTTTGTTTCTTAATAATTTCTTGATCACCAGGCATGACGATAACGATCGATCTTTATTAATGAACTATTCTCCAATTCCGATTTTAATTAATGAAAATTGATACTTTCTACTGAAATCTTGCTAAGCTTGAAATGTATTCCACATTAGCAGTCACTGACAACTGAACTCGAACCAGATAATGGGATTTGTAATTGGTGACCCAATTACATATTCAACTACACTCCCATGTCACAGTATTCCAGCATATGTTATTCTTCCCCCGGTCTGTTTCCTTCAGAACAGTTATTCAACGTAATGCAGGTGGCGTGTTGCAGTCCACAGAGCCAAGAATGCAATATCCGTATGACCAACATCAAGTATCAAGTGTATAATGAGCTTGATTACGTGTAATCACATTTTTTTATTTTTAAAAGTGCAGAGGTTCCGTACACTTATTAATCGCATGGCTACAAACCAATAGTGCAATGAGAACTGCATACTTTCATTTTTAATGTTCTGTTATTAGCACCGAAGAAGATCGAAGTGGCAGTGGAAATTCTGTCACTGAAAGAAAGAAAGAATTTGATATGTCATGTAATAACATTCTACCATAAATTAATACCAACATGTTCACATCCGATTCTTTACGAAAAGAAAGTGCTTGTTTGACCTAACAAGATTTAAAACTCACTCATAGACTTAAATGTGTTTGACCTAAGAGGATTTAAAACTCACTCATAGACTTAAATGCTATTTCTTACAATGGAGGAAAATAATTGCAAACTTCAGATACGTCACTGGAGAAGATATATATATATAGGTTAAGGGAAAGCAAAACGTCAAATAGTCTGTCTTAACATGTACAGTGCAACTAAAATCACTTCCCCCTTTTAATTTCGACAGATTTGGTGGCATTTTCATATAGTGTATTTTGTGAACCAAAGAAACTATAAAAAAAATACAGGCAACAACCTTAATCCCCACGCGCTACGTCTGCAGTCTAAACGTAATAATATAGCATTCAATAGCACACAAGGAAAGACTGGATTTTCCCTGTAAATCATCGCTTCCCAGTTTTCCCCATCCGACACTAGTTTGCGTTGTAGGTCTATGGTGAGCCGTGGTTGCGTTGCCTGTGCCTAGATTGTTCAAACCTTAATCCCCACGCGCTACTTCTGCAGTCTAAACGTAATTATATAGCATTCAATAGCACACAAAGAAAGACTGGATTCTCCCTGTAAATCATCGCTTCGCAGTTTTCCCCATCCGACACTGGTTTGCGTTGTAGGTCTACGGTGAGTCGTGGTTGCGTTGCCTGTGCCTAGATTGTTCCAATCCAACTTTGGCCACCGGACACTATGCGAAGTTGGTCAGTATAGATAATGCACCAACTCATGTGCAATTAAACGTTCAGTGTGGTATTACATGAAATGCGGTTTTATAAAGTGCGACCTTTTTATGCTCGGTGCTTTAAAACAAACCATTGTCTTATGAATTGTATGATTTAATAGACAGACAAATGAATTAAGGTTTTTGCCACTGATGATGACCTCTTGAGGTCGAAACGCGT